AGGATTTCTCCAGTAATGAGGGGTATGACATGCAAGATAACCGCTTGGTTTTGAACCCCTCTTGGTAAAAAAGGTCTTACAGTGATGCAGAAAGTAAGAAATTATAAGTAAGTGATACATATTTATAAACACCTAAAATCTCCTCTCACTTAAGTTTTGCCTAGTTGCTGGTGTGTTTATCTACCCCTTGGTGCACACAGAAGGGCAAAACATTGTATTAATACACTTCCTAAGCTTCATATGAGATAAAAAAAAAAAAAATCAGATGTAGACTGTCTAATTGGAAAACAACAGGAAGAGGCACAGTGCTTGCTGTTATCTTCCCTTTCCACATTAGTGATGAGCCAGAGCTTTTAGTCTTGCTGTAGTGGAGGAGAACTGAATTTAATTTCCATGGTTCCATTTTTTAATAGAATATTTGATGTAATAAGAAATTTACCTACAGACCTCTCCATTATTTAATTGCATTCTTTAAGCTGGTTATTATACAAATTCCTGAATGTCTTCAGTTGTTTTTATGCATTATAAGTGAGCAGCTGTGTAAGATAAGTTAAATCATACGTGTAATCCAATAATATGGCCAAAGGTATTAAGTTTCTCCAGTATTTTGCCTAATTCTTTTGACCTACTTTTTTCATCTTACTCAATACTGCAAAGGTTTTTTAAGCAGGTGAGTAAAAAATTAAAAATAAAACAAACAAAAAAAACCCCCTTTACTGCTACCGCCAAGTTTTTCATTAGCATAAAGCATTAAGTATAATGCATCATGTTTGTAGTGAGGGAGAATTGATTATTTGGCTTCTTAGGTTTTGCTATTGCTGCATCCGCAATACAATGTGCCTGTATAAAGTTGCTGTTTTTAGTATGAGAGTTGGTCGATTTATGTAGTTATGTGCAGTGATATTCCTGTCCAAATGGAGTATGTGTATTTTACCACAATTCTTGTTATTTATGTTGAATTATCATTTTATGGGCTTGAATATGATCTTAAAGTAAAAATATCCACTTTACCAAAGCAGTATTTCATACAAATAACACTGATTACTTACATCATAAAAGAAGTCCACCACACATACACATGTGCACATGCAAAATCCTGTAGAAACACAGAATCATCTCAGTAGAAATACAGTGGTTAAATGGTGTGAGTCTCAATGCTAACTAAGGAAGGATATCATCAAGACCTCTACATACAACACACCTACTGTTACAATTTATTAAACTCAAGATTCCCTGTTTCAAATAGTAATCTATTTAGCCGTTCTTGTCTTTTTTAATGTTATCCATGGAGATGTGGATTTGAAGCAACATCTGGAAATGTAGGTGAAAAGCTTGTGGGTTGAAAGGCTGAGAGAGCTGGGACTCTTTAGCCTGGAGAAAAGAAGTCTGAGGGGAGACCTTATTATTGCTTATAAATATCTAAAGGGTGGGTTGAAGGAGGATGGAGCCAGACTCTTCTCGGTGGTTCCCAGTGACAGGACGAGGGGCAATGGGCACAAGTTGGAACATAGGAAGTTCTGTTCAAATGCAAGAAAAAAGTTCTTTATGTTTAGGGTGACAGAGCACTGGCACAGGCTGCCCAGGGAGGTTGTGGAGTCCCCTTCTCTGGAGATTTTCAAGACCCGCCTGGATGCAGTCTTGAGTAACGTGCTCTGGGCAATCCTGCTTTAGCAGGGGAGTTGGACTAGATGATCTCTAGAGGTCCCTTCCAACTCTAAAAATTCTGTGATTCTGTAATTCCGCAGAACATGGTGAAAAGACGGAGTTGTTAAATGTGTCCTACTGGACTCTTCCCCTTATGCTGTCTGGGGTCTTTGCTCAAGCTCAGGAAAAGAAAGGTCAGAGGTTTCAGTGCTGTCCTGGCGCACCTACAGAAATATTTTTTTCTTGTATGATTTGATGAGTAGCAAGATAGCTAACAGCTGAAATATGATCCTTTCAAATTAAGCTTCAGGGTGGGGTAAATTAAGCTTCATGGCAGCTGAGCTTATTGCTCATTGCTGCAAAAAGGGTGATCCTGCCCTTTACTGGTCCTTTTTGTTTCTGGCTTCAGGAGCTCACGTCCTGCCTTTCTCCCAGGTCTCCAGCGCCCTGCTCAGAGCGGAGTGATTCAGGAAGCAAAATGATGCATTTTTATTTTATTTTATTTTTTCTAGGAGAATTAATTTTCTGTTAGTTCAGATTCATGGGTTAGCTCACTGAGAGGGATCTGGTGAATGTCAAAATCAGTGCTTAAGGAGCAGGAGAGGAGCTGGATTGCCCCTTATGGAAGTGCCTGGGCCGTGAGCTGGTTTCCTTCTGGAACTTCATCTTTGCCAAGAAAATCTCATAGACACCATCAGGAGAACATGTTTATCCTCAAAGATAATCTCATAATGATAAGAAAGATTTTATCACTAATATTTAATCATTATTATTCCCGATTTATAGAAGGGGCAGTGAAGACTAGAGGGGTGAACTCTCTTCCCTGACCTTGTGATTAGAAGCTGGGCCTTTTGGGTAGCAGGATGCTTAACCAGTTGGTGGGCATAGTGTCAGGCTGTTTGTTATTTGGGGCAGCTGGAGGAGAAGCGCTACTTCTTTGCACGCCAGTCTTCATCTTAGGAATCTATATGCCTGCTAGTATTCCTGTATACTCCTACAGCTAAGCTGGAAGAAATGGCTGTAATGAGGGACAGCAAACCAAGTAGTCTCTCATACTTAACAAGACAGAATACAATGGATTGTTAATGTAGAGATTTGACACAGAAAATTGTTCTCAGATCCTTGTCGGGCCAGTGTGATTGGAGAGCATGTTTTGAAATTTTTAAGTTATATCTGTTAGTAATTTAATTTTGAAAAAAATGTGACACTGTAACTGAAGATCGCTTCGTATATTTTTATTATGCCTCCTGTATAAATAACATTGATGAAAAAGCAATGCAGACTTGCTCAGGCAGTTATATTTCTGCTATTATTCTGTACACAGTAGATACTTCTGTTTAAGATGATGCGTTTTTTGTCATCTTTTTATATTTGGGTCAATTTCGCATCAAATGAAATGATTTGCTCACAAGCTTTGGAGTAAACCTAATAGGAATATATATGTCTGTTATTTCTGTCCTTTAGATTCTCCTATACAGACTTTCATGTGCAGTGTGTATTTGATATGAGGTACATTTATTATTGTGAACATGCCAAGAATAGTAGGTGGAGTTATAAATTGAAAGAAAGAAATACACAGTAGTAGTATTTCCTCCGATTCTTGCTATATAAACTTTTTTCTCATCTATGCAGGAGGTTGCATCAACAATTTGAAAGCTATAAAGAGCAAGTAAGAAAGATAGGGGAAGAAGCCCGCCGTTACCAGGGAGAGCACAAGGATGATGCTCCAACATGTGGAATCTGTCATAAAACAAAGTTTGCAGATGGTTGTGGCCATTTATGCTCTTATTGCCGGACCAAGTTTTGTGCTCGATGTGGAGGTCGTGTCTCTCTGCGATCAAACAATGTAAGTCTTCTGATGTGTACTCTTAAGAAAAAGCCTCCTTGACATTGTCACGCTGCAGATTGTTCCACCTTAAGTTTGGCATTTCATGCTTCATTTTTCTTAGGTGCTTCATTCATCACTTCGTTATGAGGTGTGTATAAAAAGAATGATGTATGTAATGATTGTGAGGATACTTAGAAATCACAGAGTTAATTAAAATAAAAGAATACATAGCATATAGTTTTACTGAGTGATGGCTTCAGGAAAACATACGAGTTTTGCATAGAATGGAAGAAAAATGCCTTTTGCTAAGGTGAAACTCCACATTGAGAAATTTGTATTGAACTCTTATTTAATTTTAGATTTCTTTTTTATAGAGTTTTTCATATACATTCATAGATTTTTCTTACATAAAATCAGTTGATTTTTCGTTTAGGAAACAACCCAGCCACTTTTCTTGCCACAGTGAGAGTGTGACGCCAATGTATTTTTAATGTATTTTAAAAGTAAAACTATAGATTAATCTGGATTAGGTGTGCTGCTGTCAGGTGGGTGAGATAAAACTTTCTCCCTCCGATCCGCATGCAGTGAGCTGCAGCAGCTGTCCACAAAACTGAAGGGTATCTGGGAATACCCTCTGCTCGGTCAGTCCCTTACAAGGAACTGGCTACTCACTTGTACATGAGTGGTAGGATATACATCTGCAAGACCATTATCCAGTGATGATTTTTGGCTGATCATCCAGTACCATGGTCTGTTATAAAACATTTTACAAATATCCTTTTACTGCATGAATAATTTTATTATCTGTCATGAGATGAGAGAACTTTCTCATACGGCCTTAAGGTGCCAGTCTTTTGTAAGGAAAATGCATCAATGCTCTTTCTATCAGTGTAAATTCAGTTAAAAGTGGTCATGAATTTTATAGCGGATAATCATGTTCATGACAGAACTAGTGTATGGCCTTTTCACTTTCTTTGAGCTAAACATCAACTGAATAGGGCTTCTGAACTTTCATGTAAACAACAACAAAACTCCGAGAAAAATACTCATTTCATCATTATTTTGGAAGTTTTCCATAGCTCTGATGTGAGTCTGTTAAACTGAATTCACATTCTGAAAAAATTATGTAGTAGTATTGGACAAATTTTTTCATATATTCGTATTTAAATATAAATAGATGCATTACATTGCATCACCTGCAGGTGGTGTCATTAGAGCAAGTCTATGAAAATATAATTTACTGTGCTATGTTATGTTATGCTATTAATTAAAGTGCATATGATACAGCTTATCTTTTCTCAAAAAAAATGGAATATATTTTAATTATTTTTCACCAACTGTTTCAAGTCACAGAAGTGGAAAAGTGTCAATTCATTTGTAACGTGCCTTTTGCTTGTTATATTGCTTATGCTTCTGTGGGTTAGAGTGGGAAAACATGTTTTCTACATATGCAATAATGTAAATTTTTTATTTAAAGCTCTGTTTTTTTAAATTTTATGTTTTTATCTCTTTGTAGAGAGTTCTTAGAATTGCATTTCTTTCAAATCTGTCTATTAATACTTGCCTATTTTATTCTTTTTCTCTTCTTTTTTTCTTTTCTCTTTTTATTCTGCTTCCTTGGATGCTTTCCCAAAGGAGGACAAAGTGGTTAGAATCCATGCTTTTTATCATTTATTATTATAATGTTGTTAGTTAACTGGGAAACATATTAATGTAAAAAATTGAAATGAAATTTTAAAGTCATCCAAAGGAGAGGGGGGAAGAACAGGAATCCAAACACCCGGGCCATGCCCATCCCCTAGCTGAATATACGCTTCAAAGATGTAGCCCAGCAAGGAAACCCGAGACTGTTGTCAAAATTAGGACAATAAAAGAAATCAATTAGGAACTGGGGATTATTAATAGGTTAAAAAGTAGAGCAGGGAATACAATGCAATAAAGCTTTATTTCATAAAAGTGTCTTTGGTTAACAATTTGACTTTTTGCATGCAAGGTCCTTCCATCAGCTTCAGGAAGTCTAATTTAATATTTTAATGGTAATTTTACATTGATTTCTATGGTTAGTTAGCTGTGTTTCACTTCTGGCTGCAGCAGAAATTCAGGGAGTTCTTGTGGAATCAGCTTTTTGATTTTACATTTGAAATAATTTGCACAGGCGAAAGATAACCTCTTAAAACTGGACATAAGTGTAGTGAGCAAGATGGAGTGAATCCTTTGTGAATGTGTAGTTACCATTTCAGAAAACTGCAAAACTATTTTGGGCTCAAATACCGGCACGTTCACCGCTAATGCCTGTGCCTCATCTGAAATAGGTGAAGGTAGTGCCCCATGCGCAGAGGAAGGGGTGGCAGTACTTGAGCAGAGCGGTGCCTGTCCACTTACCACCTCTTCTCAGGCAGGTCTGCAAACGCCGGTATTCCAGACTTTAACTCGGAGACTTAGGTAGTGGGAATTGGCCAGCTTTGCAGGCACTTCAGCTGAAACGAGCGTGAAGTCGTAACAATCCAAGGTAGCTTTTGACGTGTGGATGATGGTGCTATGCTCGTGTTACGAAGTGGTGGTGTCCCCCAACTTACATGACAGCGTAGCTGTAACCTGCATTTTAGTACCGTAACACCCAGAGAGAATGATTTCTCTCACACCTGCATGTTGCATTAGTTTTTTGTTTGTTTTTTTTTTTCTAAGACAGTAGTGTTCTGAGACCATGGTTGCTTTTCTAATGACTATGAAAATAACTTGCTACAGCTTCATTCCACTGCTTTCTCTGTGGTACTCTGAACAAAGTGCTGAAATAATCCGGGACTTCCAGATCTTTTCTATTCTTTTCATCTAAATCACTTAGGATAGAGTGAGAGAAGTTTCAGCTTGATATTGATTTTTTACTAAAGCAGTTCATCATTGATGCATCCACTGGCATGTGTTAAAAGGCTAACGCACTTGCAACACAGTCTTCTTTACGGCCAGAAACAGCAATGCTCTGAAGTGGTGGAAGTGCCACTTCAGTACAATTTAGCCACCTGGGTTTTGGAGAGTAATCCAGGTGAACTTCACCTGCTTATATGGTTGAGGCATCCTTCACGCTTCAGTTTGGAACAAAAACTTTGCTAGATTACCAAATCATTGTGGATCCAGAAAACAGACCCCTCTGCACTAAAGTGCTCTGAAGACACGTGGGTTAAAGACATACTTGACTCATTTGGATTGTCTTATGTTCAATTAAATGTATCCCTGTTGTTTGCACTTGCCTTGGTTTAGGTTTTGCTGGGTTGAATTCCAAGCTGCCACATGCCAAGAAAATGCCCTAAAAACATACATGAAAATACCCTTTTTACCTTGTGGTGAAGCTGAGCTACATCTCTTTAACAGATGAAAAGTTATGGGAGTCAGAGAGAGAGTATCCAATACTTAGTCCTGATTGCAAGAGGAACATGGAGAACTTTATTAAAAAGTACGATTGCTTTCACAGTGCCTCCCTCTGAAAGCTAATCCACACCTGGGATGTTGTGTACTGTGCATTACCCATCTTTGATAAATTCAAACTGGGACAGGCACAAAGTCAGTCACACAGAGGATGGTCGAAGAAATGGAGAGCTCATCATAGAAGACTAGAAAGAATAGAGGGACAAAAGCTAGAGAAATTATCATTGATATCTAGAAAGTTTAAACAATAACAATAACCTTTAAAGTAGAGGACAGTGAATATAAGACTGATTCGAATAAGAGGATGGTGAATAAGTCCGAATGGGTATAACTTGGCTATAAATGCTCTTGGCTTGGAAAAAGATTTTTGCAATCAGTAGAGTAAAGCTTTGGGAAATTTTTTGCATGTGACTTACTGGAAGGAAAATAACCCAATAAAAATTGAAAGGTTAAATTGATAAGTTTAGGAAAGGATTTATGTGATGTGGTTGTTTGATGATGTGGTGGCTGTAGGGGAGTGTATTAGGTCCTTGCTAGGACTGGGTAATACTGCGGGCAAAGCCTTTGAAGCTGTTCTTGACCTTTTCAACTAAGTAACAAATGTATTTTAAAGACTGTTTCAAAAATACATAGTGGAACTTAATGTGTTCTCTCCTGGTTTTAAATAAAAAAGGACATCCCAAAACATTAACTCCTTGTAGTGGGAGTTAGGAAGCATTCTGGGTTTATAATGAGAATTCTCCAGTGCACTTACAAAGCTGCAATAACTGGTACATCCATTAAAAGGCACATACTTTTTAATGATTCTTATTCTAATATGTCAAAACACATACCTAAATATGCATCTTAAGTTCTTCCGTGTTCTGTGAGTATTGGTTAGCAATTCATACTTCTCACCTGAGCCTGCTGTCCCTTCATATGGTTGCAGGCAGACCGCATTTAATGGGAGCAGAGTCAGGTAAGAGGATTGTTGGTTAGTGTGGTTATTCAAATCAGGCTTAAGTATAGTTGTGGAGTGAGAGTATTCACTGTGTTAATAATGTTAGTAATAGTATCAGCAGCAGCTGGGTTTCAAAACTGTTGGCTGTTCTATGGTGTATAGGAAAAGTACAAGTTTTTTCTCATCCTTAATATTATGTTAGTATTCAGAAACAAAGTTATGTGAATGTAGCAACCTGTTCACTGTGAGCACTGAGCATTTGTATATACTTATAAAGAAAGCAGAATATTATCAGTACAGGATTTTACATGAGACAGCATTTCAGAAGGAAATCATGTAGGTGCTTAGAGAAAAGCTGGCAGGAGAGACCTCCTGCTTTTAACCGGGCACAATGTTTTCTAGGTGGTGTCAGTTCCCTATAGAGTGTCTACACGTTCGCTCTGGAACCTTCTAGTTCTTTTCTGTACACCACCATTTTAATTGCCAAAATGGTAATGGGTTTAAGTTACTTCATTCCATTCACTTCCCTCCGATGTGAGCTATCGGGGTTGTTAGGGCAGTGGAGAAGCCAGCGCGATGTCCGGTTGGCGCTTCGCCGTGGTTTGGCAAGGAGTGGGCAGAGCCCTTGCTCAAGTCCTCCCGCCATCCTGGCTGCCACTGCTTCCTCTCTTCTTCCTTCCAGTGGTACCACAGCCTTGTAGAGCAAAAAGGCACCTGAAAATGCGACTTTTTTCCTTGCATCATTCCTGTAAAACTTTTTCCTAATATTTGGTTAGGTAATTGAAAAAGATGCATTTCCTGATATATGAAGTCGTATGGCTGTGTTTCTTTCTCCTTATAGAAAAGGAGATCCATTTTAGGGTACAAAAGTAGTCTTGAAGGAGCGAATGCCATTTGTCTGAATCAAATTAAAAGTATTTTGTGAGGTGATGTGGGTGTATTGAACTAAGTGAAATTTGTTTGACAAGGACAGAATTACGTGGAAGATCCATGTTCTAGATTAAGCCATATATTTCTCCCTAGCAATTAGTCTGCCATTCTACAGATTTCATAAGGATTACAATTTTTGGTCAAATTTGAAGTGAAAAGAATTGGGAGCAAATGATGAAAAATAGTTTTGCCACCATTTTCCCATGGTTTCCAGAAATATTAGTTGTGCAGAATAGAGCAGTTTGCTTACTCAGTTTTCTGTTTACATTCATAAAGGATGACTTGGAAGAAATCAGGATATAAAATACATTATAGATAAATGAGAATTGATTTAACTGAACTTAGTAGTATGCGACAGTAATGTTGATTATCAGTGCTAAAAAACTAGAGATTCACATTTCTGATCTGCGTTTCACTGAAATAATCTTCATTTTAGTATAATGTCAGTGATTTATACTTGGAAAGAAAGACAACTTGGAAACATTTCCCTAATTGTATGTCAGGTGTTTTTACAGGGTGTTTGTCATTTCGTTCCTTTAAATTATGCTTAAAATTTTCTTACATAATGGCTTGCTAATTTAAGCCTTAACAACTTGAGCGCATATGCTGTGCAATTCAGCTGTGTACTAATGGTTTCAACAGAAGTTGTTAATATTGTCAGAACAAAATGTCTGGATTGTCAGGAGTGTTTCTACATGCCTTTCACAGAACTCTTATGTCAAATTGTCCATTAAAAGGCTAATTTATGTAAGTTCTGACTAATACAGCTGTAGAACCAAAAGAAAAATTCATCAGAAGGAGGTAAAATTACATAGTAAATTGCAAAGTGATAGCAGATAAATTCTCTCTCTGTAGCATTCAGCGTAATTTGTTTCCTAAAAGATCTGGCATTTGTATGCAGCAGGGAAGAAGCACTGCTTTCCAGTAATCGCTCCCTAGAACTGCTGCTTCCAGCAGATAAAAGAAGAAAAAGAATAAAAAAAAAAGTCCAACAAGAAACCGAGGAATTCTGTAAGATGTAGATCACTTTCCTCTGTTTTCTGGGAAGTTAGTTCACTGTCAAACAAATCCAAGTGTTAATTTTTTTAAATTAAATCCTTAACATTAGCTTGCTCTTCACCGGGTTTGCTGAAACAACGTGTTTGACTTTAACACCTGATTTTTAGTGTTCAGCTAGCAAAAATGATTGGTTACTTCTTGTATGCAAAATAACTGCAGGCAGCTGATGCTCATGCTCTGAGGTTAACCAGATCAGAGCTTCTTCATTTAATGGTTGGACTGCAGAAGAGTCACTGGACAGCTGAAGTTTTTTTTCCCCTATAGCTTTAGATCAGCATTAAATCAGTCACCACTTGAT